AGGGAGGGGACTGGGAGAACAGGGCCGTCAGGAATTCTCTAGGAATTCCAGGGCCCCACGCACAGCCTGGGCGAGTCCCGGCATCTGAGCCTGCAGATGTTCTCATCTGTAAAATGGGGACATCCTAGTAATACAGGTTCTACCTCCATGGGTTGTGCTGAGGCGTTGGTGATATCTCCACGGAGGAGGCTTGGGTGTGAGTGATCTGTGGCTGTGTAACAAGCTACCCCTGAACTTTGAAGCTTAAGACGGTAAAGGTTTATGATGTCCCAGTTTCTGAGGGACGGGAGTCCAGGAGCGGTGGGACTGCCTGGTTCTGGCTCAGGTGACTCAGGCCGCCGTGTTCAGAGTCCCACCAGGGCTGCGTGTCTGAGGGCTTGACTGGGGGCTCGTTCCCATGGCTGTTGGCAGGAGGCCTCGGTTCCCGGCTGCACAAACCTCCCTACAGGTGGCTTGAGCGCCCTCCAGGGAAGGAGACAGTTGCGAAGTCTTGCTGTCATTTTTGACAGCCTGTTAGTTGCACACATCAGCCCTGCTCAATGGGAAGGACAGTTCAAGGGTGTGAAGACCAGGGTGTAGACGATTGGGTGCCACTAGGACACCAATAGATCCTTATGATTTAACTAGAGGCCCGGTGCACAAAAGTTCATGCACGCAGGGGGGTCCCTCAGCCCAGCCTGCACCCTCTCGCAGTCCAGGACCCCTTGGGGGATGTCCACCTGCTGGCTTAGGCCCACTCCCCGGGGGATCTTTAGTCGGACATCCTTAGCGCTGCTGCGCAGGTGGGAGAGGCTCCTGCCACGGCTGCTGCGCTTTCAGCCATCAGCCTGGCTTGTGGCTGAGCGGAGCTCCCCCCTGTGGGAGCACATTGACCACCAGGGGGCAGCTTTTGCGATGAGTGTCTGCCCCCTGGTGGTCAGTGCATGTCATAGCGACCAGTCGTTCCTGGTCATTCTGCCGTTAGGGTCAATTTGCATATTACCCTTTTATTATATAGGATGTTACTGTTTCTGCTGTTACTATTACCAGCACTGAACCCTCCCCCTCCCCCCAGGACCTTCCTATCAGGTTCTACGTAACCTTAGTCCACATTCCCCCTTGATTGCTCCTTCTAGTCACGCTGGACACCTTGTTTCTCCTCCAACAAGAAAGAGAACCGATCCCAGCCTCCAGGCCTTTGCGCCTGCTGTTCCCTCTGCCTGGAACAGCATGGGCCCTGAGATCTGGCCATGGCTGGCACGGAGTCCTTCCCTTGGCAGCTCCAAGGTCACCCCCTTACAGAGAGGTCTTCCCTGATCTGAATTAGATGCCTCACCCTCACCCACAGCTGCCATTATGATATCACCCCCGTTTAGTTTTCCTCGGAGTTCTTGAAACTCTCTGAAAGCATTTTGATTTTCTGAGGAAAAAAAAAAATCAAATCTACTTCCTTGTTCACTGCCTGTTTATCTGACTGGAACCTGGAAGTTCACTCCCATGAGAACAGAGAGGCGGTGTGTATTGTTTCTTGTTGCACCCCTCATTCTCAGAGCCGCGTGAATGCACTTGCTTTTCCAATATTTATTGGGGTGCTCGCTGCGGCAGCACATATACTAACATTGGAACGATATGGAGATTAGCATGGCCCCTGCGCAATGATGATGTGCAAATTCGTGAAGCGTTCCATATTTAAAATGTATATATTTATCGGGGGTGCTAGGGACACAGCAAGGACGGAAATATATCTCATCCCTGCACTCGGGTAGTTATCAGAGTTGGGGGAGACAGATGGGTAGACAAACGTCTGCGTGTTCTACTTAATACGTGCAAAGTCCTGAGGAGCAGGAGAGAAATGAGCCCATGTGTGTGTGTGTGTGTGTGTGTGTGTGAGAGAGAGAGAGAG